GGAATTGTAATATATTTTGATTAAAGATTTTTTATTCTAGTGTTAATAGAGTATTAAGTAATAGCCAGTATACTTCTATAATACCAGGCTATAAACTATAAGTACCATCTCCGAAAACAAATATTTACTCACCTCTAAGATTTGTTGTAAATTCATTAATTCTTTCTTGTATTCTTAATTCATACCTCATACCCTAGTCACTCATTCTATCCTCTTAAAGGCCAGTAGGATGTTGGATAAGGCCATCCAATGTTGCAATTGCTTGGTACTAAAATGAATATGCCTTTTTATAACCTGAGTAAAAGAATTTCTGATCAGTAGTCTCAGCTCCTGGATGGCAAATTACTCAATGAGTTCTATCAACAAAGCCTCATATATGGCCTGATGGTTTACTATTTGACTTAACTGCTTTACAATACTTGATTAATATTTTCTGTATCAATACATTATTGTCCCATAATATCATTTTACTATATTTATCACTCAGATATAAACAAACTCCATTAAAAACTACATTTAGTGTAACGATCTCTTCCTCGAATAGTTAGTTATTGGCGACAGGAAACGATACTTTTCTCCTTCTTCCATTTCTTTCCTTAGTCTTATTATAGCACTAGGCTTCTGCTTATGTTACCGATAGTACAAGACCTTTGTCTTCTATTGGGAATATCTATCGTAAGCTTTCTCTAACTCTTCTTCTTGAAGAGCTTTCCTTGGTGTAATGATAAATATTACAATAAAGATAAAGATCGTAAAGGTGTTTTATATTCATTAAGGTAATAAGTAGGAAAAGTACTTAGAATTCAATCTAATTTTATTTAAACTTGTACCACCAATACTGACATATGAAGAGCCCCCGCTGGCACAGGGATACCGCTAACTAGTATACCACTAATCCTAACTAAGTCTACGGCCACACACCTGCCATCCCCGAGTCACGCCCGCACGAGAACTAATTACAAGACCATCAAACAACCCAGCGCCCGCCCCGGTCCAAGTCCGCAGCCCCTCTGATATGAAGCCAACCAGCACTAAGCATAGCCGAAGCCAAGCCAAAGACCAACCTGATTGGATTCCTCATCCAACAAACATAAAATCACTACCACCCAGTCTGAAAACTATCCAGCAAACCTCCACCACAGTAGAAAACCAACAAAACACAAACTAATCCTACAGGCAACACAATGGTAGGGAGGAGGCAACCCACATGTCAACCTCTCACACTCACATGCCAGGCCATCGACCCTATGAACCCACTTTGCCGGTTGCCTCCTAAGAGTGTACCGGTAAGGAGGACTTGTACCCGCTGCCTGTCCCTCAACTAAAACAACATACAAAAGAAATAAATAGAGGTAGTAACAGACCAAAAAGGTCAGTAGGGCCTATCTCCCACCCGTGGTGCCATGCCTCCTCCCGCTAAACCCATTGCCAAACCAAACAAACCAAACAAACCCCACAATACCCAACGCACAAGATCCAAACAAGTTCAATCAGGTGATCGCAACCCACTATCCGCACAGGTGACCATCAACCAGCTGGTCTATCGGGAAGCTTTACAGTACTCAGCAGCTTCATCCAACAGCCCAAGCTGGACTGGAAACACTTAATTAGACCTCCTCCAGCCTGATGCAGGCCCGACCAGTGCTTGCAGGTACCTCTTACCCCCAATTAGCCCCCCTCAAGGCCTACACGCTAGACGCCACAGAGCCTATCCAGCCGCCCAGCCCCTCAGACAAATCAACCATCCGATAGCCACAGGACAGCCCATACCTAGCCCCACCAGGCAGCCACTGGTCTTGGCCACACTAGCAGAACTCCAACTCCCAACTTCTTGCAGCCAAGGGGGACCCACCAGCCACAGCCGGGAGCAATAAGAAAAAAGGCAGCACCAACACCCAAAGGTACTGGCACTAGCCACACCATCCAACCCAGCCAAACCGAAGTACAACAGAGCCAGGAAAAAATAAATAGAGCTAGCTGAAGCTAGCCCCACATGTCCGGCGACAAGCACAAACCGAACAACGGGTAAGAGGCACCCCCAACTGACGCGACATGAAAGGGAAGAGTGCACGAACAGGAGCAGACAAACAGAAGGTAGGCCCCACTTGCAATGGGTGAAGCCGCCAACCACAATCCGTGACTGAACCACCCAAGTACACAAACAATATGAGTATTTGGCAGCCAATCATCCCACACCACCCCAGGCAGCAACAGTAACTACACCAGGGGGTAAGAGTTTTCAGGGTCAAAGCCATCCCCACCGAGACAAAGAGGAAACACCTGACTGAACCACCATAAATACCTCAAGGACAAAAACTCCAAGGAAACGGTGATAAACAACATCGTAGAACTCTGACCGTAGAAACGTAACATAACAAGGAGGAGTGGAGCAGATACTGCCCTGCCACCTGAGAAGTGATATGGCTGGTAAGACAAGTTAAAGACATGGGACGGTCATCAAGCGAACCCGTGGGCATTTTGTATCATAAGAACTAAGAACTCCATTAAAACTTAACAAGAACATGAGCTGGCCCAAAGAACGACACAGGTGATTCCCTCAAACACAATGTTCCATCCCCCCCAATCGAACACGAAACCTACAAGTAGATTATAGACAGGAAGCCGTAGACATTTTACCAAAAGGGGCTCGTAAGTGACAATGATGAAGAGCTCAAAGTGCCAGCATCATAAAATAAGCAGCAAGCAACAAAATGAGAGGCAAACAAGTAATCTGCTATGTAACACCAACAGACCTCAATACCAAAGACCCCAGGAACTACTGAGCGAACTCAATTATCTCCACCAGAATCTAAGGCATTAAGGTCCACTGTAGGTGTGAAAGAAATGCACGGGGTGAAGCGACAGCAAGGACGAGGAAAAGTACTTAAAACAAAGTGTGAAGAGCCTATCCTCCTCAGCCTTACCTGCCTCCTTATATAGTACTCTTCCCGCCCTAAGTCATGTGACCTAAAGTGGTCACATGCGTGAAAGTAAATCCTAACAACTAATGATGTGACCAAAGAGGTCACATGTCCAAAACCCATGACCTCGTAACAAGGTCATGTGCGAAAGCTCATAAACTAATCATAATGCAATAAACAAGTCATGTGAAACCCTTTTCCCTCACCAAGCCACGTTCGTGATGCTTAGCCATACTCACTCATGTCCAAATATTTGCATACTATCCTTATATCAGTTTAGCCATGTAAGACAATATAAAATAACTGATAGAGTAGTAGATTAAGGTGCATAGTGACTAAATCTATAGGTACTAGGAAGATCAAACTACTTTACCATCTCATGTATTTGAGATTTTGTGAACCTAAAATATTCTATATACCAAATATTATCTTATAGATCTAAATTCCAATCAAAATTGTAGTAGAGTATTTGATACTTACTTTTCTATACCTTTTTTATGCTAATAGGTCTGGCAAGTACAACACCTAAGCATGTTTTCTTTCATGACCTTCTTTGTATCACACATTGTAAAGTATTATTAGTTACTTCTCTATCAGCAGCTGCAGCCAATAAAAGAATTGAAATAATGGTATAGTGGATTGCGATATTGGTTATGGTATAAATAAAGTATTATCAGCATATTTCATGGCAGTTATGCTGTATTTATAATTTTTCTATGCTATATTTTTCACAAAATCAACCAATCAGAGTATTTGTTTACTGTCAACAAACTGATTATAGTGTCATACTTCCTTTGTGCCCACTATTGCTAATTAATGTGGGCATTAACACGCTACTTTGGAAACTTCCTTGTGGAGGGCCATAATTCCTGCGGTTGGCCTGGTTACGGAGCTAGTTATAGTGGGCACTTGAGTCTAAAACCTCTCTACTGGGGTACCGGTATGATATGTGCTATTAATAATTGGTCGATCTTCTATGGTACGACATTGTGGAAATCACCCGCTGATCTCTTCACTTGCAACACTGTGAGCACTCGTTGAATCCACTATCCTGGATTGGGCTTGGATCCCTAAAATGAGAGACAAAAAACATCCTGAGAAGGAATGGTGCAAGTTCAGACGGGGAGAGGCTGAGCTTAAGCCAACTGTGGTCCAGATGGTGATTTCCATTGAGGTTCCCAATGACGGACTTAAACACAGGAGACCGGGGATGTCCAGTGGCTTGTTGTGTTTCATCTGCGGTACATACTTGTACTAGTACAGGTACTTTATGATATCGGTTCATGCCAGACACCCTTGGCAAATATGTGTGAACACTGAAACCTAGGCTTTTTTCATGACGGCCGGTTGATGGCGCCTAGTAAGTTTACCTTACCGTACCCCACTCGAGTATCATACAATTCGAACCCTGACTCTATTCGAGTGATAGGGGATGAGGTTTCTCTTTCCCATGTGATCAAGAACAGTTGGGCCGGGAAGACGGCCACGAAAGGCTTTCTGGGGGGGTTCTGTATACATGATCCGAAGGTTTTGGGAGATTGGAATGTCGGAGATCTCACACCTGTAGAGCTTAATGTTGATGCAGTACCGCAAGGCACCGCAAGGCATTAGGAGTCAATATTGTCGTCCTTGGTCCCGTGAGCTTTATTACTACTGCTGGCAGTCGCGCTTTCCCGGCTTCATGGGACTTCTGTGATTGTCACGGATCTGTAGCATTGGTAACGGGAAAACCCCGGAGTGGGCAAGGTTCAGGCGACGAGGAAGAAACGGGGGGTGGAGGGCTTCGTCCCATCTTTCCGGAGGTGGTATTTAACATAAAGAACTGAGTTTGAAAGAACTTGATGCTGCGCTCTATCAGATGGAGACAATCATCCCGAACCCTTCCCATTCGGCCATTTACGGAACAGTCTTACAATTTGTCCCTCCCTCATTGGCTTGAATATCTGTGGCGCTGCGCGCTAGCGTGCTGAGAAAAGGAAGCTCACAGCCACAGCTGGAATAAAAACGCCACCCCTGTCAGATTTTCAAGAAAATTTCCCCCATTCCCGCGCCTTTTTTAACCCGGCTTCCCTTTTTCTTCTCTTTTTCTCTCATCCAACTTTGGTCACCGCTTTTCCACTTCATTGCTCACCTACACCCTCGCTACGTGCTCCACGATACTAGTTGTTGTTCTTTCGTTTGAGAGTTGATATTATATTCCTTTGATAGACATGGGTTTCCAAGAAGGTGAGATCGATGTTGCTTTCTTCTTTTGATGTTTTCCCATTCTTCGCCTCACGATGCTGCGGAATGGGTGGGATACTTCACAATTGCTACTTCGTTCCCCCCTTCGTTTCCTTTCTTCCCTTCTTTCTTTCCCCTCCAGTAACTGGAGAAATTGCAATGACGGCACTCTTCCGATCCTACGCTATCTCGCGGCAAGGGTCGGGTGCATTGCTAGAATTACAAGGGAAAAAAGGAAAGAAAAAATAACCTGGCAACATAATACCCAACGAAAATCGAGGCAAAAAATAAATCTTTTCATGGGTAGTTGGGACTGACAGTTCATTTACATTAGGCGATAATGCTAAGGGTGCGAACCTTTTCAAGACCCGCTGCGCTCAATGCCACACCCTCGAGGCCGGCGGCGCGAATAAGGTTGGTCCTAACTTGCACGGTCTGTTTGGACGTCAGTCCGGACAGGTAGAGGGTTTCTCCTATACCGATGCGAACAAGCAGAAGGGCGTTGTCTGGACCGAGGAGACCTTGGTACGTTATCCTTCTCCCTTCTCTGCTGGTGGGGGATTGGAGAGGTGGGGAACTAATTGTAGTTGGATTATATATAGTTCGATTACCTCGAGAACCCGAAGAAGTACATTCCCGGAACCAAGATGGCTTTCGGTGGGTTGAAGAAGGAGAAGGACAGGAATGACTTGATCACGTATGTTTTCCTTCTTCCGCGATATCCTTCCCGATATTTCAGGTTGATACAACAACTGATGCTTTATGTGCCTGATAGCCACCTGCGCAAAAATACTAAATAAGCCTTTTAATGTTTTTTTTTTCCTGCTCCACTCGTAAAGCAAAACCTTATAGAACTCATCTCTACTCTTTCGTTTTTTTATATTTCACTTTGTCGGTGTATCTGAAGTTGGTGGTTCCATGCGAACGAATTGTATTATATTATTATATGTCCTTTTTCTCCACCTTGGTGGGGGTGGGGTGAAGGAAGCAATAGATGGCCTGACAATGCCATGATCATAATTACTTGTTACTCTAGTCATGATTTATCACTCTAGCTTCCAACAGTTTGATTGACTCTATACTTGTGCGTTCACAGAAGAAATCTGAAGTATATTCGTGCAAAGCCCAGTAAACCTATCCAACCAGCCAACGAACCGGTACTGTATTACAACAACCTCATCCATCATAATCTCATCGTACACCCATTACCTTGTAACCTCACAGCCCCCTCTATTCTTCCAGAGCCTCCTACCACCACCTCAACTTGGGCGCAAAAAATAGTACAAAGAGCACCATGAAAGCCAACCCGACAATAATGACAGGATACAGAATCGACCACAAAAACCCCACACTCTCATCCTGCCTTAGCGCCTTCAACTTCATCCCGGTGCCTTCGATCCCCAAGGCATTCTTGTCGAGCCCTTCCCGCGCCATGTCCAGCAACACCTTCTCGTTCTCCAACTCGCTGCCGAAGCGCAGGGAGGACTGCTTGAGCGCCTGAGCGAGCGAGAGCATATCTGCGGTTATGTGCTCCTGCTCGGCGCGTTGGTGGTCGAGGTGCTTCTCGGTGTCGGTGTTGGTGTCGGTGGCTGCTGCGGTTGGGTCGGGGCGGGGAGGGAAGAGTTGCTCGCGCTGGTGATGGTTGGTGGGGGTGGTGGTTGGTTGTTGGAAGCGATTTCGGAGGGTAGAGGTTGTGGTTGTTGCGGGCGCAGGGATGCTTTCCGACTGCTGTGGGCGTTCTCCGCCGTTTACTTGCGCTGGGAGCGCGGATACCTCTTTTACCTCTTCTTCCTCCTCCCCATCGCTGTCGTCATCAGTAGAGCCCCCTCCTTCCTCCTCCCCCTCAGCAGCCATAACAAGCAACTGCTCGTTCAGCCTTCGAATAGCTTGCTTCTGGACGCCCAGTCCAGAAAGCACGCTCTGCCGCGTGGACGCATTCCGAATGAGTGATGGTTCGCTTTCCAGCGAGAGGAGGAGTTGTCGGGCGTACTCAAGGTTCGCGGCGAACTTTGCGCGGTCGACCGTGGAGAGGGGCGCGGCTTTTCGGGATGCGAGTTTTGAGTCGAGGCGGGAGAGGAGGCGGGTCAAGTTTTTTGTGGTTATTGTCGATTCTGTGGCGGCGATAGGGAGGGCCATAGTGATGTTTGTCCGTTTGTTTGGTGGGGTGGGGGGAAGGAGGGATGGAGGGAGAGTTGGGTGCTGTGGTAGAAAAAGGTACGAATTTCGATGACGATATTATGGTGGTTGTGGTTGGGTGGGTATATTTAGATGGAAGGTTTATTTTGGAAATGCCAATGAGTGAAGGGAGTTATGTGCAGTACTATGTCTGTAGAGCTGTACAAGTATGATATATATGATCTTATAGTTGGGCCAGAGCACAGTGGCGACGAGCCCTACTTCCTTCGTGTTATATCATGCCGTCCAGAGGGCTACAGAGTTCGAAGTAGTCTACCGGTGCACTTCAGGCCACAGTGTCAAAGAGCCTCTTGACGAGAAAAGGGCCCCGGAATAACTCTTTTGCGTGGTTGTTGTCATGGACGAAGGTTGCCGCCATGTTTTGTTTTTCTCTTCATCTCGCCTCCTGCTCTGAGCTCGGGATCACGCTCACGGCACACACATCCACAAACGCACGCTCGTTTTTCAATATTTGGGGTACACTTATCGTGGGGTGTAGCTTTCATTATACTACTTCTATTATTTATCATGGGGGAACGGGGCCATGAATCTCCAATGGACTTCCAATATGATGGGACGGGGCCTATTGATCCTAGCTCTCCTTTTCGAATGGCTACCCTTAACAATAGTCTCACTCCTACAGCGCAGAAAAAGCGTGAGTATAAAGACAGCTCCATGGCCCCTATGTACGCTACGAATATTGACAACCAGGGAATAGGAAACCTCTCGTCATTTCAATTTGATACGTCTAAACCCTTAACGCTCACGCCTCCGTCATCACAAACTTTTCTCTTTCAAACAGCCTCAAGACCAGCCCCTCCTCTTTACAAAGGCGCGTCATTCACTACCCCCCGTCAAACTGCAGATGCTCCACGGAAACCGCTGTCTCCCACCTCTTGTGGTGCCACAGAAGGTAGTGATATGGGAACCCCCGAGACCCCGCAGGTTCCCCGTTCACCGACTAAAGGATCTCCAACAAGGTCTTTAGCATTAATCTCGCCAATCCGGAAGACCGGCCGTGGCGAGATCAAACGCGTGGGTAACGACGGCTCAATCAACAAGATCCGTCGACGCCGTATGAATCAAAAATTCGAGCGTAGGGACTGGTGGATGATATCTGGGCCCGCTGGGTCTGCTAGCGAGGGCGAGGACCAAGGTGCTGAGGACGACGAGGATGACAACGGTGACGATGGACAGCAAATGTACGAAGATATGAGTACTCCCCGACGGTGGGGATCAAAAGCCAAGTCCGCCGCTACAAGATGGGCCCAGACTCATCGGGAAATTCCGATCATCGCGTCACAGTACCTGCAGCTATTCTTCAACCTTAGCATGGTGCTTTTGCTACTGTACGCCGTTTTCTGTTTCTACCTTACCGTCCGCCGGGACGTGGATCAGAAGGTTGAGGAGTATTCTGCCGAGATTGTCCAGGAGATGAGTCAGTGCGCAAGGGAGTATGTTGAGAATCGCTGTGATCCAGGTATGCGTGTGCCGGCGATGGAAATTAGGTGCACCGCCTGGGAACGTTGCATGAATAGGGATCCTACGCTGGTTGGCAGAGCCAGGGTTTCTGCGGAGACGTTTGCAGAGATCATTAATAGTTTTATTGAACCTATTAGCTATAAGACAATGGTAAGCCCTCCTGTTCCATCACTAGTAGTGAATAAAAACTGATAGAGGTAGCTCTTCTGCATTATTCTCTTCTTTGGTGGTCTTGCTGTCTCGAATATGGCCTTCGGGTATTTCAGAGCTAAAGCCCTTCACCATCCTACGCCTTATCTTGCCGCCACCGCTCCCATGTTAGACCATTGGGACCCTCACCAGCAGCTCCACGAACAAACCGGCTATAAAAGTACTCCCGGAACGCCCATGCCCACTACTCCAGCACGCGGAATCAAATATAGAGAATTGAGGACTCCGGGAACCGCGAGAAAGAGTCTGCAGTGGCGGTGATGTGCATTTGGGATTGGGGTAGATGAAAACGGGCTTATGGAGGATGTGTATATGGGAAAAGGGGGGTAGCTTGATGTAATTTATGAAATGGAGTTTTCGTTCATGGGTTTGAAATATCTTTCTTTTTCCTTGTGCTCGAGGGTGAGGGGGATAATGGGCGAAGGTTATACTCTATTGTAGTCGGTTTCTGTAACCTTGGGACTGTAGTCTGTCCTGTCCAGCTTGCGTTTGTTCGGAACATTATGTCCTCCTTTTTCAATGGGGTTTCTGGGGGCCGGGACTAGCACTCGGTATTCGCAGATGTATCAAGACCAATTCGCCCCCCTTTGGGTGCCGTATGTTTTCATGGGATGTAGCTTTCTGTGTGCTTGGGTGTTGTAGCGCATCGATATTGATGAACACCTTCCACCTTCGTACGTTTTCAAGCACTTGAACTAACAGCGTTGCTAACTCGTGCGGCGCAAAGGATGAGTTGCAAATCAACCTAAAAATGCCCCAATATCGTAACTGATCCTCCTTAGAGAATTATTTGCTAGGTTAGTCAAGATTTGTGGCCTTTTGTACTATGATATCGTAACAGTGCGCGTGAGACCTAGGAACAGATGAGGAGGCCCCCGATCTCAAGTTCCCCCTTGGTCCCCGGAAAAATAATTATCCGGCTTCTTCCCATCGAGTGCACAAATTTTTCGACCATCTCACCAAACGTGAATCACTCCCTACCCAAACTCAAAATTTCTTTACAGATGTTCTCCCGAGTCCGCGCTCGTGTGCGGGCCCATCAGTTATCATACTTTTGCCCAACCATTCACTGGCAATTGCGACCCGCTCCTCTGCGAAGAGGATTCTCGGCCACTCCCCGATTTTTTGAGCAAGATGTTCCCCCTGGGGGTGCCGCAATACTACCATCGAAACCGCCGGGAAGAATTACGGAGGAGGAAGAAGACTTGAGCTGGATACCAGGCTACTGCCCCGGCTGCGGCGCCCCGAGCCAGCGCCGGAATCCAAATTTACCAGGCCACTACTCGCGCTTGACCCGCCGCCAACGCTTCGGCGACCTGACCATAAAGTCACAAAAGCAGCACAGGGAAGAAAACATCTTCTACGACACCCTCGAGCGCCTACAGTCCCAGCAAGACCCCAAAACCATATCCCAGGAGCTGCGTGAGTTTCTCGGGACCACCACCGACGAGGAATCAAATATCCCACCACTAGTCTGTGGGCGCTGTTATGGGATACGATACCACCACCGCGCGAGCGAATTGCCCGCATACCCCACCCTCCACACACTCACGAACCTCATGCAGAACTCGCCGCACACACAGAATCACATATACCACCTCGTTGACGCCGCCGACCTGCCGATGTCGCTGCAGCCGGGGCTGCGAGAGCACCTTTACCAGAATTTGCCCAAGCCGCTCCAGCACGGGTTAACCGTCTCATATGTCGTTACCAGGGCGGATATTCTCACGGCTTCGCAACAGCAGATCTCGAGCTTGATGACGTACATCAAGAAGAGGATTAAGGATGCCCTGCCCGAGGATGAGAAAGTTGAGAGTGTGGCGGATAAGATTCATGTGATTTCTGTCAGGAATGGCTGGGGGGTTGGTAGAGTCAAGGATGAGATTCGGAGCAGGGCGGGCGGCGTTTGGATTATTGGGGGAATAAATGTTGGGAAGTCCAGGTTCGTAAAGGAGATGTGGCCCGAGGGGGGAGAGAGCAGGCCAGTTACCAGGGAGGAAGCGGAGGAGTATGGGATTTTGCCAGAGGGCGGGGGGGGCACTGGAGTGAAAGCGGTAAAGGAAGAAGTGGAAAAGAGGCAAAGAAAGGGGAGGTATGAGTACTCTTTCGACCCACTACGTATAGCGCCTACGGTGTCGGATGTGCCGGGGACTACTGCGGCACCGATAAAGATTGCCTATCAGGTTTCTGGTGGCAGTGGGAAGGTATGGGGGGAAATGATCGACTTGCCGGGATTTGAGCGTTGGGTTGGCTATGGCAAGAATGGACTGCTGAAGTATGTTCGCCCGGAATTGCGGATAGCTGTAGCTATGAATAAACTGGTCAAGCGGCGGCAGTACACCATCAAAGCAGGTAATCACCCTCCCCTCTTTCACATATTTACACCCAACGATTCATGGGAAGGGAAACAGGTCAAAGCATGATCCTCGGAGGCCTAATAATTATAACCCCCCGCATAAACAGTAGAGGCGGTCAAGTGGTCTTAGCAACCCCATTCACCAACCTTCCAGTACACATTGCCTCGACGTACAAATCCTTGAAATGGCTCGAGCATCCAGAACCCGAGAGTGTGGACCACCTCTACTACCCGGCGCCAACCACCGTGCCCCTCCCAGAATCTCTCGTCCCAGGTAAACCCCCAAACCGGCCCAAATCATCGACCTCATCGCCACCGCCACCAGCAGGTCTACCGCTCCCACACCACCACAAAATCACCTCCGCCCCGAATTACAAAGGCACCCCACCAAGGCCGGAAGAACCCTTCATCCCCCCACTCCTCCCACCTCATTTTGCCTCGGCGGGCGTTGTCCAGATAACGGACGACGTAACGTTACAGTGCAACCCTCGCCTTTCCGCGCGTGAGCTGAATGGCCTGCCATACGTCATCCTTGGCCGGGACGTGCTGCTTGACAGCATCGGGTGGGTGGAATTGAACATTCAGATATCAAAGAACCAGCACTTCCGTATGGGTGGTAGGGTGGAGGTCGAGGTCTTCACGCCCGAGGGCAGGGGCGTGGGGAGTAGAGTTGGTATGGGCGCTGCTATGATGAGAAAGGAGATGGAGAAGGTTCAGAGTCGGGAGTGTGTAAGGCAGAGGAAGCCTATGAAGGGGGATAAGAAAGCGGCTAAGATGAGGGCTAGGGGAGGGGGTGAAGCCGCTGTTGTAGTGTAGGCGTGCGTGGCGGTGAGAGGAGCTGTATTGTAGAAATTGGGGGGGGGGTGAGAATATATTGAACCTTTTTAAAAGAGGTTCATTTCCGCTAGCACCTAAGAAGTACTAGCTAATGCCAGGCGTTGACCAGCTTATAAAACAAGAGGGGAGATGGGTACCACAACTCAAACAACATCAAAGCTATCCATTTACCAAGGAAGCCCACAGTCACTACCGAAGTGAAAGCTGCCTTGCCTATCATACAACCCCTGGGCCATACTCCAGTAACAAGCAGCACCTCGCTGCTAACCCCGGTTTACAAAAAGCTCGGCATCATACTACGAGCAGGAAAAGGGATGAATCTGTATTGGAATCCCGGAAACAGTAGTAAAGAGGGATGTAATGGATGTGGGCGGGGTCTTAACTTTTCTCCTTTCCTATTTATTATCATATACGTGCTGAACAGGCCCATAAGAAATATAATGTACAGTACTGTACATGTCCGAGTGGCTCTAAAAAGCAAAAACATTTTCGAAGCAGCGTTTAAGCATAAACCACATAACACATTTGTTAGCTGCCACCCAGATAAGTGCCTTTTGTAATCAAGGCTCTTACAAAAGCAAATCAGTATCAACATCCAGTTCGTTCGCTGTAGTCCACGCTCTGTTTCGCTGTGACAGGTTCCGCATCTCGTCCTTTAGGTTTTTGAATCCTTGATCCAATCACCGATCTGCAACCCCCGGTCGTACCCCGCGAACTTCAAAGTTTTAACAACGAATAAGCAAAACTTTTGGTAAAGGTGAGATTGATTTGTTTCCAATCTCAAGAGCGACGATTCTAGCAGCTGAGGCCTCGGCCGGAAGCCCCAGCTCCGTATCATGCTTGCCGCCGTGTTGCTCTGTTTCCCCCATCCGTGCCAATCCCCGGGGCATTGCGGTCTTTTTCCTTTTCCTTTTTCTGACTAACTTGCCCGGCCAGTCTGATATATAACATAATACATCAGCAACTACCATAAACGCATGCCAAAACCCCTGTCGAAACTCCCAATACGAGAGGGCAAGCTACAAGAGAGCAAAGCACGAGGAATACAAGCAACTCTGATGGCAGGAATCACAGAATTGCGGAGAGGCAGTGGTACCAGGAAGGAACTGCAGCGTCAAGAGGGAATCTGGTATCCCCTCATCCTCTCCCGAGTTTCAGGACCCTGCATCTGTATCTAGTTCTCCGATCTTCAAAAACTGGGCTCACAAAAGTACGGCTTCGGCCACTCAATGGTGACCCGGCCAATGGAATTTATAGACCGAATGAATTACTCGATCCGTTCCCCGTGATGGGGGATATTACCGCCCCATTCAGCTCAAGCGTGAGGCCCTGAATATGGACGAAGGGGTTAGAAGGGATGGTGGTGTTCAGACTCCTACCATAATATCATATAGAGAACCTCGCTGTTGCCCGACGCACCTACTAGACTATGATACTTGCAATAGGGGTGTGGCCTTCGGAAACACACCACTATTCTAGACCGAAAAAATTCGGCTTTTTTCTACTTTTCCGTGATTATCCTGTTACGAATTTGTAGTCGCGGACACAAACATTGGAGCTACCCCTCCTACCAAAGTCTGCTGTTTTTCTCTCCCCGAGTAGGTCTTTTGGCGTGCTTTTCTCCCCCCTTTTCCAGAGGAGGAAATTTTGGATCATGATACCGGGCAGATGGTCCAATTGGTGGGTTACGGGGATGATGTCAGTATACCCCCGGCCAGACGATATAATTCCATAAATTGTGCACCTAGACTACGACCAAAGAGGAAAGACGGAGGGGGGGGGGAATGAGATACGATGATTCTAGGAACATTTCCAGAAATAGAATACCTCCTTCGCCTTTCACCAACAGTCCTTTATGAGATATATCCGAAACTCTCGCACACGTAATGCAATACCTTTTCCAACTACACTACCAGATTAACCACAGGTGCTCTCATATTATACAGGTCCTGGAATAATGGATAAGCATCCCCCTCTGTTGTACTAACTCATATTACATCAGGTTTTGGGCAGGTGTGGTAAGGTAACTTGGACTCTTTTTTTAAAAAAAAAAAAAAAAAACATGATGGCACTAGTGATTGATCTACTCTTGAGGCCCGAACAGTTGATATTCCTTTTATGCTAGCATACTTCTTTACCAATACAATATAGCTCCTTTCCCAAACTTTCCGTCATCAACTTATACCGCAATAATACCGGTGAAGATTGTGAGCAGGTGCTGTAGGAAATGCCTTCGTTCGCATCGACCGCCAGAAGCCAGTGCTAATCACCCGGGTTCTCACAAACTCCTACGATAACAACCCCCCGCCCAATTCTCCTTTGTATAATAGAAAAATTTCACTGCACCAGATCATACGGAACCAAACCAAAGTGCCAGAGCTAGACCGGACGGGGTACATCCGCGAGAACAAGCAACAGC